ATGACATAAGGTCCAACCACCGGTTGAACGGTAGGCAATTATCTGTAACTATTTTTATATCTACCGTGAAACATTACTTATAAATTATTTGCGAATTTTGACTCAGGAGCTCAGGCAGAAGGGTTAAAATTGTTCAGGAACGCAGGCCTCAAAGGCTTAATAACTGCATTGTTTATTTCCAGGTAAATTGAGATCTGACTAGTTCAAAGAATAATGTAACGAGTGGCGACTTCTCTTGAAAATGAACAAAATGGTGGTGTTATTAAGTACCTGTAGAAAAAGTGTTTAGCCCCCAAGGATATTTCATGCAGACATGGTTGCTACATTAGGAGATGAAGCTCCAGCTTTATTAACAGTAAAAAAGTGGGCAGCTGAATTTAAGAGAGAAAGGTAGAGTCTTGAAGATTATCTAAGGTCTGGATGTCCTGTAACTGTTACCACTGAGGAAAACATTGATTGTGTTCAACACATAGTTATGGATGACGGGCGACTAATTATAAATAAAATATACAATGCTATTAGTAAATCCCATGAGAGAGTTGAGAATATTCTGCATAATGAACTTGGTATAGCGAAGGTTTTTGTTCGGTGGTTGTCACGTCTTATATTTGATACAAAATATATTAACTTTATTTTGACGAGATTTAAAACTAAAAGCTCAAAAATTGGTAAAAGCTATGCATCTAATCTATGGTGACAATATTTATCACATCAAACTCCAGCATTTACATTGAGTGCAATGTTAATTTTCTAAAAAATGGGAAAAATTAAACTGCCCTAATATGTGAAAAGTGTGTGTGTATAGATATAAATAAATATAATTATTTATAAATTATATGCGCGGTACTTATTAGAAAGCGCTCAATATCAGAGATAGAGCTAACAATATTATTCAGTGAAAAAATAGAAAAATGCTCTGATTGTTGACATGTATACATTCACGAGACATTCACGAGAAATTTTCGCTACACTTCCAATCTTTGAATTTCAACATATAAATGCGTATGTATAGACACAACACCACCCATATACATACATATGTCAAATCCGAAATTGTCCACATATGTTTATATATGCATGAGTCCCGACGGACGACCAAATGTGTATGTGCGTCTGCGTATCTCATCTGATGTACGGACATGCATCTATGTTTGCGTTAGCACGATGACATCACGACGACGTTTCCCCCACCACTCCCATAATAACACCAATACACGCAATCTACGTAAACCCAAATTTTTAAAAAATTAATCAGTTTGTCTGACGATCGCAAAAGCGTGAAACCCAGGGTCACAAACTCACATCAAAATATATATATATATATATATATATATATATATATATATATATATATATATATATATATATATATATATATATATATATATATATATATATATATATATATATATATAAGATATATATATATATATATATATATATATATATATATATATATATAGAGAACATTGAATCAACACTTAGAGACGACAGGCTATTTCATGCTAGACGCAATCGTCAGGCCACGATCGTGCCCAGCATGAAACAGACTGTCGCCTCTAAGTGTTGACTTCAATGTTCACTTTATATTTACACACGCTCTATCTCTGATATTGAGCACTTTATCCCATAAATATAGCACACCTTAAGAGTATATTTCTTCATATATATATATATATATATATATATATATATATATATATATATATATATATGTCTACTAAGGCGGCTAGCCAATCCCTATTGCAGACGCTCGCTTAGGCACATTTGTATTTGTTCAACACCCACAGAGCCAACCTGTTGTTTATACTGCAGCTATACTGAGCAGACCTTAGTTACAGTTTCTTGGGGAGTTCGTGTTATCTAGCGTGATCAACAATCTGAACAAGGCCAGCACACTCAAGCTCTCGGTCACGATGACGTGTGACTTCGTGCTAGCACAGCTGTCGACGGTCCCCAAGTGTTCCGTCTACCCAATTTCACTCACAAAACTTAGGTCAACCAGTGGTACTGTTTTCAAGCACTTTCCAAAGGTGCCGCACGCTGGAATCGATCCCCTCCAGACCGATAACATCAGGAAGTCTCCTTCTTGATAAATCAACCGTGGTGAGATTTGAACTCGGGTCTCATGGTCAGAAAGCAAACGTTCTAAGCACCCGGAAATGCAGCACACACACACACACACACACACATATATATATATATATATATATATATATATATGAACAATTTATCAGAGTTAACCTGTAAAAAAGGACAATATTTATAAATAGGAAAACTGTAATATCAGCCGACGCGTTTCGTCCAGTCTGAACTTTTTCAAGGCAAAAACGAAATGAATTTATTAAAACAAAGTATTATCATCAAAACAAAATGTCCTTAGCAACTGGAAGAATTTAGAGATCCTACTCAGCTTAGTAAATATTTTCAGGAAAAATCAGCTTCTAATTGGTCAATAAACACACAAGTGGGCGTTGCAAGCCACCCACGTACAAATATTTTCTCCAGCGCCAAATCTCCCGCCATTTTACTGTGATCCTGTCACGTGATTACATTATAAATAGCAGACACAAGCTTGCTCCTTTCTCTTTTCTCTCTTCTTGCTACAAGATGTAATCCCAAAAGGATTCTCGTCTCGACCATGGACGGTCAGACGTTAAAAGCATATTCACACATGCACGTACGTACGTACTTTTCCAAACTATATTACAAACATGCAGAACATTTCCAAACAAGCAACAAGAACTTCTCTCTTTGAAGCATTCTTCTAAAGCTACAGTTATTCAGCATTTCTCAGCTTTGTAATTAATTCAACTTTTGTGAGTTCAGATAAAAATATTCACACTCTGCGGAACATAACTCCAACAGATCTTTAACTTCTACGCATGTACATTAACACACAAATAAATACAAATGTTATGTTTTTAAAACCATTTTGTTCTTTCTTGTATTTCATGCTCTGTGGTATTTTACATCAAATATAAATTGTGTGGTCATGTTATTCACGCAGTCATAAACAGACATTTACAAGTGATCGATTCCTATCAACATACCACAACAAGCTTGTCTCGCTAGATCAATTACGAATGAAAAGTGAGTCCGATACATACTGGGTTCCTCATACTACTACGCTTAGAAAATCACCGTTCAGAACTCCTGTTGCAAAACATAACAGGTATTCAATTGATTCAAACAAAGCCAATGTATCTTCTGTATCAAACGCGATGAGAACGATCCACTTATCAACGGCCAGTTATTAGAAATTCTCAACAGTATGAAATGATTTAGCGGCTTGAAAAGGCAAAGGATTAAACTCGAATTCCATACTGTGAAAGTCCGTTTGATATGATTAATACTTTTACTGATTGAACAATAGACATTAATCAATTTATGATTTTTTTGAGAATCTCAGAAATACGAAGGCCGGAGACTAAACTAGTCGAAGCGTAATGACTAAAACAACGAAGATGGGGATATTAGTTTGCGTACTCAACAGAAGAATATAGCTAAAGATTTATAGACAAAATATTGCCTGTTGAATTATATTAAATATAAATTGCATGACGAGATTCGCACTCGCTTTCTATACCATGGGAGCTTGCTATGTCATGTAGCATCACCTATATCATCTTAACCGATGAAAGACACAACTTATCGCAATGAATGGTAGAGATTACACAAATGAGAACTGTCTGTCAGTGGTTTTGTAACCAATATTGGACAGGGAATGTTATATTACACAACCATTTCTTGTGTTAAAAATGCGAATTCAATTCTCTCTCGATTGATTCGTTTTCTACGACTTATCAGCCCTTTGCAGGTTATTTAAAGCCAGAAAATATTTTTAGATTGTAAGAATTTTTTTTTATTTTTATTTATTTATTTGGTTGGTGAGGAAATGCGATTTGCAGGTCGGGAACACTAGAATCATGCAGACGCAGAAGTTTAAATATCTGGGAAGTGTTCTGACATAGGACGGTAAGTGCGACACTGAGATCTGTAGACGTATTGGGATGGCCAAGGACGCATTCCAAAAGCTGGGCAGAGTATTGCGTGACAGGAGGATTTCTTTGGTAACTAAGAAAAGAATACTGAGCTGTTACTTGGCATCTGTTCTTTTTTATGGCAGCGAATGTTGGACAATTGACTCAAAGATGAAGAAGAGACTAGAGGCGACTGAGATGTAATTCTACCGAAGGATGCTGAGGATATCATGGACCGAGCATGTGAGCAACGGTGAGGTTACAAACAAGGAGCAGACTTATACTTAACACCAGGAAGAGGCAGCTAAAGTTTCTGGGACACATAATGAGGAAAGAGGGCCTTGAGAATCTGATACTCACGAGTCGAATAAAGGGAAAGAGAGAAAAGGGGAAGCAGTGTGTAACGTACCTGGCGAGCTTGAGCAGGTGGATGAGAGAACGTGGTCTGGGGGAGGAACTTGTTGAGAGCTGCAAGGGATAGAAGGAGGTGGAGAGCCATGATCGCCTACGTCCTGAAAGGACATGGCACATAAAAAGAAAAGACACAAGATTTACTAATTAACCCATAGCTGGGAGGGAGAAGAGGTGAATTCATACTCCTCTCAAGGGTCAGTAAGTCAGTTATGTTCCATGCGTGATACAAGCTTAGGCGATCATGTATATTTCGATACATGACTGACGAGGTAGATCTTTTCCCGCAGTAGGTTGCCATTTCTTTCTGTGGTAGACCAGTTGCTATCCAAGGTTATAGAACCTGGCCTGTCCTGCTATTTACCTATAGCTGGGTGGGGGGAGAAGAGGATTCATACCTTTCCCAGGAGTATTAGCACGTGAGTGAATGTAATGGATTCGACTGGAATTCGAACTCGGCTCTCCGATTCCTTAATCCGTCGCTATCCTTTATTCTCAAGGGTATTTGCGCGTAAATAAATATAAGGAACCTAACTGGTATCGGAACTCGGCTCTCTGATTAACAATTCCGAGCCATTATCCATTAGACTATCCACACCTCCAAGTTTGCAGCACTAGCTATTCACAAGCGGTCACCCATCTCGGTAGTGACCAGGCTCAATGTTGCTTATTTTCGGTGATCGTACTGGGCCCGGTGTTGCAATGTGATGTAGCCGTGAGCCATTTTCTCGCTCGGAGTTTCTCTCTTTATTTTGAATTAACGCAATTTCGTAAATTTCAAGAGAAGTGAAGTTCTGTATCGACCGGGAAAATCATAAATATCTTTTTTTGCAAAATGCTTAATGAGAATGCAAGAAGATTTTTGCGTCTGTTTCATGATTTTTTGAGGAGAGATCGAATGTCAGGATTTACTCACCTCTGTTTTTCACGCAAATAGACCCAAACAAGAAATTGCACGTCCTGTCGGACAACAGCCATTTCGAGGAACTTGGTCTCGTTTGAACGCACGTATCATCGTCGTTGTTCGGTTCGCCGGAACCCCCCACCAAATTAAGGGGAAGCAGCTTCGACCGTCTTCCCATTTATAAGTTGATAAAAAAAAGTAGAGAAAAATTAGAGGTGGAATAATTGTCCGCATCTATCTATCTATCTATCTATCTATCCCATTCTTTTCCTCATCTGGTCATATCTATCTATCTATCTATCTATCTATCTATCTATCTATCTATCTATCTATCCATCCCATTCTTTTCCTCATCTGGTCATATCTATCTATCTATCTATCTATCTATCTATCTATCTATCTATCTATCTATCTATCCCATTCTTTTCCTCATCTGGTCATATCTATCTATCTATCTATCTATCTATCTATCTATCTATCTATCTATCTCATTCATTTCCTCGTCTATCTATCTATCTATCTATCTATCTATCTATCTATCTATCTATCTATCTCTACACAAACATATCTATCTGTCTAGGTGTTTCTATCCCTTATCTGTCTATCTATCTATCTATCTATCTATCTATCTCTTTTCATGGTCTAACTATCTATCTATCTGGTCATATCTATCTATCTATCTATCTAATTCTTTTCATGGTCTAATTATCTATCTATCTGGTCATATCTATCTATCTATCTATCTATCTATCTATCTATCTATCTATCTCTACACAAATATATCTATCTCTATATCTATCTGTCTAGATCATTCTATTCCTTATCTATCTATCTATCTATCTATCTATCCCATTCTTTTCCTCATCTGGTCATATCTATCTATCTATCTATCTATCTATCTATCTATCTCATTCATTTCCTCGTCTATCTATCTATCTATCTATCTATCTATCTATCTATCTATCCCATTCTTTTCCTCATCTGGTCATATCTATCTATCTATCTATCTATCTATCTATCTATCTCTACACAAACATATCTATCTGTCTAGGTGTTTCTATCCCTTATCTATCTATCTATCTATCTATCTATCTATCTATCTATCTATCTCTTTTCATGGTCTAACTATCTATCTATCTAGTCATATCTATCTATCTATCTCTGTCTAGTCATATCTATCTATCTATCTATCTATCTATCTATCTAATTCTTTTCATGGTCTAACTATCTATCTATCTGGTCATATCTATCTATCTATCTATCTATCTATCTCTACACAAATATATCTATCTCTATATCTATCTGTCTAGATCATTCTATTCCTTATCTATCTATCTATCTATCTATCTATCCCATTCTTTTCCTCATCTGGTCATATCTATCTATCTATCTATCTATCTATCTATCTATCTATCTCTTTTCATGGTCTAACTATCTATCTATCTGGTCATATCTATCTATCTATCTATCTATCTATCTATCTATCTATCTATCTAATTCTTTTCATGGTCTAACTATCTATCTATCTGGTCATATCTATCTATCTATCTATCTATCTATCTATCTCTACACAAATATATCTATCTCTATATCTATCTGTCTAGATCATTCTATTCCTTATCTATCTATCTATCTATCTATCTCATTCTCATCCCATCCATTTGTCTGTTTCTTTTAGTCTGGTTACATATATTTATCAATGTAACTAGCTACTCGCATTTTTATTATATTTGAATGATTATATCTGTTTATCTCTACCATCCGTATCGATCAGTTTGGGAAGAAGCTCACCAAGTGAAACTTCTTACTAATGGAATATGAATGGAACGTGGGAGGGTTCCCTTCAGTGCGGCATGGCGCGTCTTGGACGGAGTGGGGTGCTAGAATTGAAGGAACTAAGGAATGTAGCTAGTTTGAACATTTCCCATAGAAAAAAAAACGAGAGAGTACGCGTGAGGATTGTAACTTTTCGTCTCTGGGGAAACAGGTTTTAAGGTGGAAAACAATTCATCATCCCAAATTCCAATTTATCAGCTGTTTTATAAATGTCTATCTCCATTTGTCATTTAAGCTTTTCTTCTTTTACTCATGATATCGAACCAGCAAAGATGAACTCTTTCAAAACTGGGGTGTGACTACTGGGCGGCAGCAGCCCAGATATGGCCGCCGCAGTAATCCATTTTCGGCCTGAATCTGACTCTAGTAACAGTGGAGCATAGCAGTAGGAGTCAGGTATTTATTAGCACGGTACAAGGAAAAGATAATTTTTCCCAGCGATGGATCATATATACAAATCCCACTTGAGATCTGGTGTGAGCTGAAGTTCTAAAAGGTGAGAGTAAATTTCCATTCCGAAAAGAGAAAAAAATGCTTGGGATGCACTGGTCTAATGGATGGATGTTCTCTGGTCAAGGCGAGACACAGTAACTGCCATCAAAATACACTTGCTGATCGAAGTCGACGAAACATCACGGCATGCAATATGTGATATCCAATGTGTTTGAGCGGCACTAGAGTTGAATTTGAATGTCCTTTGATGCAATATATCTCTTCATTTGGTGGTCCCTGTCGTTTTCATCATTGGTGGTTGTTCGCAGTATTCACCTGTCTTCTATGTCTGGCTGGCATTCACATAATCCTGGTATTCCCTTTCTACTGTTGCCTCCACACCAGAATGTTTCATTGTTCTAACCCCAATAAATATTCAACCGAAAATGGTGTTATATCCAGTCCTTGTCTAAAGTCTGCTACAGCTACACTGTCTCAACTGGAACTCAACCGTCCTGGGTAAGAAGATAAACTACATCCGCGCCTGCATAAGACGATAAACTACGCCCAACAACAAGGCCTCTGATCAGGAGGTTTTGAGGAGCGTGGAACCACCTGTTAATTGCTGGTATTCTCAGGTCCATCCCGGCCCGGGGTGGTAGCACTTGTTAAGATCCCAATTGGGTTCAAAACACTATGAAAATGTAAAAATAGCTCTTAATGCCAGAAATAAATTTTTGAAGAAAAAATTATTACCAGCAATACATTATTACCAGTAATATATTTTTGAAAAAAAATATTACCAGTAATAAAAATTGTCGGCATTAAGTAACCCATTGAGGTGTTCATATGACGTAAAACAAACCAAACCAAACCAAACTAAACCAAACCAAACCAAACCAAACGAAAACTGGAACTCAATTTTTGTGTATACGTCATTCGGTGAAGTCAATTTCTACAAGTAGGTGTGTACTGTTATCTATAATGTTTTTGTATTTCATATGGGATGCATGAAAATACGTTGATATTGAAAATGTTTATGCCTTTGTTAAAGTTTCGTTCTTTTTACAAGAGTATTATCAAAACATAACGGAAAAATATAAGGAAACACTTTTACCGCTGTCATTTGTTCAACATTTAATCAAATTTAAGAATATATTCGCGAACAACTTCATTGGATTTTCACATAGGGAATATGTTAAAATAAAATGTGAATATACCGATGAGACATAGGAAAATAAAAACAAACAAAAGAATGTTATGGTGATGAAAATAAAGCCCGTATATCATCGAAAGTAGTGAACATACTTTTAAAAATTTACGATTATATATTATCTACACGTTCTTATTTAGCAGATTTACCATGGTAACGACTTTTTTTTGAGGGGAGGTTCAGTTAGGTTTTGATAATGCTCACGTAAAAGGGGCGAAATGTCAATACAAAAAGAAAATTTTCAATATGAAACTGGTTTTCACGAGCTCCATTTTACATAGTTTGATCAAATTATCCATAACACACACACACACAAAAAAAAAAAAAAAAAAAAGTAAGCTCGACACAGTCCCCACCCTCCACCAAGTTAACCTGTCGTGAAAATTGCAATTAAACGACATCAAATTATCTTCATTCCATTCGCATTCCTTTGGTAACTGTCACTCTACGAAACAGAATCCCGAGAGGATGCTTCCCGATCACTAAAATCTCCACCTCTTCGAGTCGACCAATATGTATCCTACATATCCTCTTCATGCTCATTTTCCTCCTTCTTTTACGCCCTTATAACAATCTCATTCAGTAACCGTGTATCTTGAGTGGCTCTTGGGCCTTGTATTGGGTGAACAATAGTAAAAAAAGACTGACCACAAATCCAGGAAATGTTTGAACGTACGTAATAATGAAGATATATATAAAACAGTCCTTCTTTGCTTTCCGGGTCTGGTGTTGCTTAAGGAAAATCCAATTGCCATATATATTTCTTCACACAATGGTTATTCTAACTTTCTCTAGTCTGGTGTTCATAGCGCACACACACAAATGTAAGCTCGACGCAGTCCCCACCCCTATACCAAGTTAACCTATCGTGAAAACTGCAACTAAACGGCATCAGCATTGTTATAAGTATTTGTATATTTTGGGGCTGTTTTTTCTAGCACCAATAAAGTTTCTTGATTTATTTGTTTCTAATGTTTTACTTCTTACTCTTTTTAAAATTCTGCCACTCATTCTGAACAGTTTAAGTCCTGGGTGTGACGATAAACTACATCCGACAGCAAGACCTCTGATCGGGAGATTGGAGGTTTTGAGGAGCGTGGAACAACCTCTTAATTTCTGTTGTTCCCAGGCCCACGCTGACCTAGGGTGGTAGCACCTGTTATGGTCCCAGCTATGGGCAAACAGTGAGCACCTAAACAAAAAACTATGAAAGTATAAAAATATATTTTAATAGTAAAAATACCAGCAATACGTTTTTAATATAATAAAAAAAACTAATAATACATGACCAGCAATACATCTTATCTGTAGTTGAAGGTATGCAACTACG